TTAATGTCAATTTAATTTGTCGTTAAAATGTAGATGCATTAGAAGATCTTGTACGAGATGAGAAGAGAGCTAAATTCTGCCCTACGTTTGACACTATCCAGGTAAATGCATCAGTGTGCAATGATTATACATTTGTGTTTCAGCTGTTAAAACAGGCTGTACAGTACAAGAACAAGAACTCTTAGAGTTTATAATACCTTTCTTTGTGAAGAAAGAGAAAATCTGCTGGGAGAATTTGGACGTGACTGCTATTTGCACCAGCCCTACCCATCCTATAGGTATTGGCAGATCTCTAACGAACAAATTCTTTTGTTTTTCTTCAAGAACAAAGAAGATGAGTCCACAGAAGTATTATTGGCAAGATCCCAGCTAACTCTCTTTGAGGTATATAAACATTTAAAAAACGAGATGCCGATTTTGAGTAGAGTTTATGCTGGGTTTGACCAAAGTTAATGTCATGACATATGACTGTAACACTTAATTTAATATTATAAACCAACTTTGGTACCCACTGCTGTAGTCTCCTTCGCAGACACTATTATGGTCAGCTGTGACAACTCTTATAACAGCTGTGAAGGAAACTACCACTGCTGATGCAAAGGGCCTTTCTAACCCCTTGACTTCTAGGTTTGAGGTGATTTACTATTGACTCTACAGGGCTCAAATTATAACAGCTGGTCAACGGACAACAATGTCCGGCCAAGATGACCCAACCCTCCAAGTTAAAATTTTTGTTCAGTGGCCATTTGGTGACCAACTCTTTGGCTTTGGTTGTTATGGTAAATTTTTAGGCGCCAAATTATTTTAATAAATTAATGTATCAAAAATTGTCATTAACAAAAGCAGTTACCAAGTTTAACTTAAAATGTTGCACTGGTTATAAATTACTCATTTATTGTGGAAGGCATTATTTACTGATGGTCCGAGAAGGAGGTTTGCAAATTCATATCCTTGAATCAATACTGAAGCAAAATTGTAAAGACAAGAACCATATCCAGTTGTCTTTAGGGCCTTCAATCCTTCCGTATAATCTTCAATTATTGGTATATGAGAGCAGAACACAACTCATCCCCTGTTAATGTGTTCAAACTTCCCAGTTACGACTTGAAAGGCGATCTTTTTTTTTTTATATTCGCTTCACATTTCTTCTGCGACTTTTGTTGATGATGGACTTGTTTCCCCAACTATCAAATATTCTTGGAGATTTAAAAGGTCGTTTTTAATTTCTCTAGACATTGCTAAAGCCTCGCAAAAGGCAGGAGAGTATAGGAAGATCAACAAGTCATCAAATCATTGCTTTATACAGAGATAACATCATGCATGTGAAAATTTTGCAACGATTGTACCGGGAAAACATTTTTCCCCAATCCATTGACAGGAATTTAAACAAAAATGTCTCATATGACTTAATAAATTTTGTTTTTTGTTTATCATTGATACAGGTGTTTAACAAATAAATTTTTTGCAACAACCATAAACTGTCCGTTTTTGCGATGTGTAGTTTTGCTTATAATTATCATCGCTATTATCTGCAAAACCTTGATTCAACTCACTGCTTGGCTCTCATGTTATGGTTATTACACAGTTTTCTGTGTTGACTTCACAGCAATTTAGCTTTCCCTCTTCATGTTATAGATTGTTTATTGATTCAAGAATATTTAGAATATGTAGTCCAGTCTAAAAAACCACCAAGCTTGGCCAGACAAACATTCCTAACAAATCGAAATCAACACTGTCAGCAAGCAAGGCACTTCGATAGCGTGCTAATTGTCACGTGTCAAAAGGCTTAAAATGTCATGTGCAAGGCAACAGACTCAGTGGAAGTGAACGAATGCAGGTCAAGTTTCAAATCAGCTAGAATTAATGTTCTTCATATTTCAGTAGATGTGATTACCATTTCTGTTTCTTTACGAACGTATTCTTCATGGTCGCCAACTCGGCGACTATTTTCCAAATCAAGTCGCCAGTTCCAAAATTTTAGGCGCCATGGCAACTAAAATGGTCGCAGCTTGGAGGGTTGTGACCATTAGTCTTGACAAAGTTTCCATTTTGCTGGTCATTTTGACTGGACACAACAACAACAACTGAACAACAACCACAGTAACAACAACACAATGACAACAAACATTTTCACAACATTACATTGCAAGAGGGCATGCATCTTTTTTCACTCTTTTTTTTTTTGCTTGTCAGGCTTGTGCAAGTTATTACAGTAAAACCTCCATTATTCTGACCTTGATTATCTGGATTTCTCAATTATCTGGACTTTTTCTCTGGCCCCAATTTGGTCATGAATATTTATTAGTCACAATCAAGATCCGTAGCCACATCCTTTTTAAAACTACAGCATTGAAAAGTGAAGTCAAATATGAGGTTTTTTTGCTTTCCAAGAGCAAAAGCAGTGCTCGCGTGTGTTGTAACTAATGAAGAACACTCGAATGAGTTCTGATTGGCTCAGAGTTGCATTGTTGCTCAGTGAAATTTCACGCTCTACTTAACATTTTATTGGCTCACGCGGTGTGGTATGCAAAACAAACAAGCTAGCATCACAAACGTTTATTTACAATCATCATATCTTTGAAGCGAAAGCGATCCATTTTTTCGATAAAAGATAAACAGTCTATTATAATTGTGGGATTAGAGACTCATTAGAGAAAGGAGGAAAAGGAACCAATTTGTTAGCTGAATATGGTGTCAGTAAGCAGCAGATCTCAGATATCTGCTAAAACAAGGAAAACGATCATGAAATTTGCCATCATCTTTAGAGACCAGCGAAGGACTGAAGGGAAAATCACTGAAAGTTGCACATGATGAACAGCTCAATAAAACCCTGTATGTCTGGTTTATTCAGCAAGGAACATATGGCACTCCAATTTCTGGTCCCCCAAACAATTTGTAAAGTCTTGTTTCACAATCAGTTGTCCTTTTCTCAATTTAAACAGTTTTGTTCTTCATTAATATTCATATTTTTGATTATCTGGACCCTCGATTATCCGGACTATTTCGTCTGGTCCCAACGAGTCCAGATAATCAAGATTCGACTGTATCCTGTTATTTTAACATTTTTAGGAGGTTGGAAGAGAGACATGACCGAGCTAAAATTTATGTAGCCAGTCAACACAACCAGCAACAGTCCCAAATTTATTTTGAGCCCAGTTTTAGATGCTGTGGTCAAAAACTTGACTGTGACGATTCAACAAAACCCTTGGGGCCTCTTCTCCTAGTAGTGTGGTATCAGTGTGTACTTGTAATAAGACTATTACGAATTTTCAAGTTCTACTATGAACTTGGTTCTACTTGAGACTTGATTCCTGCGTGATTCTCTTCACTTTTCAAAACACACAAAGTCAGCCAGTTTCTTAAATCCTTTTATCTCTGTCCATCATCTATCAATGAGGCCCTCTAATAGGGGAGTTACGTATGTCCCCCAAGTCTGAATTTCAAAACCTGTCATTTCACATATTGAGGAGTAAGTAATGTCACTGTTGGTATTTTACTATTTTATTTGCTCTTTGTCTGTTGCTGTCACAGTTTTGTTTTATTTCTGTTGTCCTATGTCACTGTGTCAAGGCCATGTTGCTTGTCGGAATTTTACCCTAAAAAAGGCTTCATCAATGATTTTTTTTGCAATGTGCAATGCACAGGAATACCAC